AATTCCTCCTGCTGAACTTGGTGTTGTTGTAATGCATCAACATCGCGCCAATTGGGGTCATTGTCGTTCAAAATGTCTGCTGAACACTCCTGTATGTTTCTGTTTTGTAGTGATTTACCCCTTTTACAGACGAGTTAGATGAATTCAATCAAGCCTACAGAAAAAACGTAATTTCCGGTTTCAAGCACGCTAACTTGCTTTTTAGCCCCCGAGGGCACGGAAGAAAAGCCGTTATTTCGATGATTACTTTGAACCTTCCTCGAGCTACAGACCAAGGATCGTGCCTTCGCACCGGCCACATATACCTGAGGAGGAGCTACCTCAGAAGATTAGGAAGCCTCACAAAATGGTACATTTTTTGTTTTCTCATTTTTGAAGCACAAATCAATGGGTCGTCCTCCTTGGCACGCAGCTGCCCACAACCCTGAGCGACGTATGTCTCAGGTGAATGCTGTGCGGCTCAGGAACGTTTTGAAACTCCCGAAAGCTCATAAATGGGTGTTCTATGAGTGGTTTTACTCTAACCTGGATAGGTAAGCCAGTTAGTGGACGTCAACAGGCTTCATCTATTAGACCACTGCTTCTGGGCGAGAATGACTTTCGTATCTGCTTGCGCGAAAATTTCCCAAACGTGAAGACACGAAACCTTTCAAGGGCTCACTGGTCTTTGTTACGGAGGCTCATGGGGAAACCCCGTCGGTGTTCCACCGCGTTCTTCGACGAGGAACGGAGATCGCTGAACGAAAAACGTGAAAAGATAAGAACCCTTCAAGCCACGCGCTCTGTCCAGCTTGAATACCTACGAGATCTACCGGATGACATGCATGTCCCTATGCCCCTCATTATTGGAACGAAGATCACAGCCAGGTTTGTAAACCTAATTTCACTTGTTTTTGTGTCCGCCCTATCGCCTACTCCCAATTTGAGATTTTGAACAATTTGTCCAATGGTTCGCATAGTTTTAAACGCTTCCCTCCCTCGCACATCGTGACATTTTCCCACCCTCACGGTCTGGGAGTGAAGTTTCGAACCTACTGGAAAAAGTACTTCGTTTCACTAGTGTTAGCAATACAGCCAAGGTGCACTCGGGCGCAATCCTCGATAGACTGCTAGGAAATAGATGCCTCCGAGAGGCCACATCACCCCTTTAGACAAACCGTTCACCATAGCAGTCGCTTCATTGGTTACTGCGTCGGTTTGGCTGTTGTGATAGGTCAACCTGTCTGCTGTTCCTCAGTAAAACCTAAATGGAATCATCCTCGACAATATGACAGCAGTGTTCAGTACTGATGCTTCGCTGCCGTTTTTTGGGATGTCCTATTATGAAGAAGAGGGTGAAGATGGACGAGAAAGGGACCTAGTATTAGCCTGTTACGATAATTCCAACGTGTCAACACCTCCAGACACTCAAACATCCAGACACACAAACAAATTGGCTAGAAACCGGCAACAAAAACGCCATTGGCGTCCATTATTAGCCACATCTTGCAGCGTCTCCAACTAGACGCAGTGGGTCCCCATCCTGGGAGGCCAGCAGCACCCAGACGTTTCGCAATTTCTTTCATATCTCTACCAGCTCAAGGGTTGGCCACCTCTCTGAATTGGACACGGAGAACAACTCTGTTCGCAAACAATGGTTCGGCTGGCGTAATACATGGCTTAATCAACGCAACTTCTGTTGCTGGACACATTCTATAGAAGTCTCCGTTGCACAACTGTCCATGGGGAGTAGTGAACGCGTGGAGCAGCTTCCACCCATCTGGTTTCGTGATCGATGAAATAATAAAACGAACCCTGGAATGTCTTCAATACCCCAGGATTCAAATAGCCTCTGACGAAAACCTTGCCCATCTGGAACACGCGAGCGTCGCTTTCTTCGTCGAAGAAAAGACAGGTGCCTCTAGATGAACATACCAAGGTCCTCTCGTCCATGGGTATGTACTCTGCACCCAAAAATGTAAGGTTCTGCCCCTGGACGTGCAGTCAATGAACACGGCGCTTTTAATCCATGGAAAGACGCCTGAAGTTGTGGAGCACTTTACTTATTTTGGAAGTTGCACCAGCTCTGACAGTAGTGTGACAGGTCAATGCACGGACCTGCAGGACCCGGGTCGCTTTTGCTAATTTGAGACACCTGTGGCATCAGAGTGGTGTATCCTTGAATCTCAAGGGACATGTGTATCAAGCTTCAGTAAGGGCTGTTTTGTTGTATGGCTGTGAGACATGTCCTGTTCGAGCAGCACAACTGCGACGTATTCAGGTATTCAACGTCCGTTGTCTTAAAGCCACATATCTGGGTTGGTGTCGGCGAATTCGTAACGAAGCAGTTGCATGTTTTTTCTCCCAACTCCATCCGAGTAAACTATCTTGTAAGAATGTGTAAATTGTCCAGCAGATATGGGGTTGTGTAAAGCATCGCCGTGAAAATCAGTACGTAAATTAGGCCCATTTTATTAAGTTTCGTCCACGCCTTATAAGAACCCCGGGACGAATTCCGGATTTCCAATGGTTCATGGTCCATCCAAGATGAACCATGTGAGGTATTACGTCTAATTTGGTGGGGAATAAATCAACCACATAGGACTCTAGATTTCCCTCTGATCCTTGGGGCAGTTTCTTCAAAGTGACCCAGTTGTTAATTCGTCATCATGACAGACACCGCCACCAATGGTTACGCCTATGTTCCAGTGCCGTACAGTCACAAAATGTATTTAATTATACTTTAAAGTGAAAAGACGATAAAATACAGGGTGACGGAGGGACGTGGTGCTAACTTATCTTAAGCATTGTGATGTACCTACGCCTTCAAGAATCCAGAAAGATACTCCACGAACAATGCTGACATCAGCTAGCCGCTATTTCTTGCATTGGCTCCCTTCATGTGAAAGTTGGACCTCACCGTGTTGTTTCGGGTTATGTGCCTCCGTGTCTTGTTGAGCATCACGGCGTGAGGAAACTTTCCGTGCGACACTCGTAGTCCCACACCAGCCTGATTAATGGTTAGAGGCTTTATGGCGTTCCAGGTTGGGGATTAGAAAATAGTTATGCACTGGTACTTCCCACTAAGCAACACTTGCTGCCTGCAGCATACATACAACAATACAACCATTACGGCACAGTGGGACACGCGACACTCGAGACTCAGTGGTACGCCTGTTTGCTACCACAAGTGGCGCAAATTAGCAAACTTGATTGGGACTTTTGAGACTCCTGCAGTGGCTTCATGGGACACACTTCCGTTAGAGCTAATACAGCTACCGTCATCATCATCATCATCAAAGACAGCAACATCAGTGCTGGCACTGATGCTTCAGTGCCGTAAAACCATAAGGTGTGTGTCATGGTTGTACGAGGGCTGGGATACTGCCAGGGCGCCCACACCTAGACAGGAGAACGATTAGGGTCCTCAACCAAAGCCTTTGGCTCGAAAGCCTAACCGCAAGGCAGCGGTGTTTTGCAGAGAAACGCAAATGCATTACGTTTTGCCTCCGTCTTCGAAGATGAGGACAATGTCATATACGTACTCCAAATCGACAAGGTTCTCATCAGCAACGATTTGACTGCCGAAGTTTGCAAGACCTTGCAGCGTTCACCTCTTTGTTTCATCCATGACGAAGTTACAGGAATAGGGGGTGAATATCCCTATCGCACACCATTTTTGCTGTGAAGCTTCCGTAGATTATTTCATGCACTCACTTCCAAAAGTATGTGAAAATAGGGATCGCATTAGTTTTACAAACTCCTGTGAAATCCCGCGTTGACTGGGTGTAGTTAGGAGCACTGACTAGTCGACAGACTCGCACATACCTTTGAAGTCAAAGAGCATCAAGACCGAGGGTCGTTTGCAAAATGCAGCTGCTCTAAGTCGTGGCAAAGCCTGAAGTTGTGATCGACGACAACTTACCGGCCAAAATCCTACTTGATGTTCACTAGTCAAGGATTCGCGTACCATTGTAAGACGACGAAGTATCAGTGACACCAGAAGCTTTGTTGCAGTGGCAGTCAAAACGACGTTCCGGTGGTTTTTACATTCACTGCGAGAGTCTTTTTGGAGATTGGCAACTATTACAGACTCACCTCAGTGGTCTAAGACAGTTTCTTTCTCCCAGCTAGATGCAAATAGACTAGAAAGACACCGGCTGAGAGATTACTGATGCTCTGTTCCAGAGCAGCTGGGATGTCGTCAGGATCAAGGGTCGCAGCTGATTGTTGATAGCCCTTGGCTCATTCCTTTAGTATCCGGTCCAGGTGTCTCGATGAGTATTGATTGGTCAGCTTGTAGATATCACTCCGGGTTCATTTGAACCCCGGATTAGAGGGGTTAGGACCAATTCAAGTGTATTGGATGGATTTTTGACTGAATTCTCGTCGACCCCTAGACGTGTACGAGATTACACTACTGTATAGTTTTCCGGGCACCTAGAATCAAAATAAGATTGAAGTAAAGTCATGAACAGGGGTGTTTCGTCTGTATCTGAGGCATTCAAATCTTCAAATCTCGTACCATGTGGCTTCATATATATCCCAAAAAAGATCACTGGACGGTGGGCTGCGCCACTCGTACGGCCCGTCATCATCTCTGCCACTAACAACCACAACTGGTTGATCTGCCAAAAGACCCAACTTAGCTTGCGCAAATGAAGGATATCGTTAGGAGCAAAACCAATCAGTACTGTACGGACCACCGGAACGATAACCAAGTAAACAGAAGTGTAGATGGCAACGGGACTACGGGGATGGAGGTGTACTAATGCCACAGACCAATCGATTAATGACTCTGGCGCGGTAAACGGTTAGCGAAATGTGGACGGCAGGTCAACGACGCAAAAGACTGATGCAAAAGGCAGGCTTCCTTACTACAGGTGTTGAACCCTCGTGGCTCACAGCCATAACTTATTAGTTGAGATCTGGTGCTACCTTCACTCGAATATCCTGAGATTCACACACCCTCCAACGTTAAGCAGAACAGTGTAGATAGAACCCAGCTGAAGAAACGCCATTAGGGTTGTATGAATACCCACTCGTCATTTCCAGCCAAGCATGGATGTGCTGTGGGGTTATGGCAATCATAGGATTTGAAGTGCCTGTAGATGCCTGGTCACTGAGGTATGAGAACCATAATCCTTATTTCACCCTTTTAGTCCATAGTCTCAGTCTATATTGCAGCAATGTTCAAAAAGCACGTAGACAGTTCTATAAACGCTGACCAAGCGACATGCACTAACTCCCTCCTGAAGGTTGGTCTATATGCCCGGTTAATCCACAGCTGGAATTCAGATATTTGTAAAACGTGCTGACCAAAATGACCATTTCTTGTTCCATACTTTCACCTTGTCACCCTAGGAATAATTCTGAATGCAATAAATCCAAACGTCTTACTGGTCACGTGACAGTTTTGAGTGAAAGAATAAGTGGAGCTACAGCTTACAAGTACAAGGTTTCTGAACTGAATAGAGAACTCATCTCTCATGTATGTTGAGCTTTGTCTTGTATTGTAGTGGCCAACATGGAGTGGATCCCCTTTACAACTTTGCGTTCCTAATCATTGAGTAGTTGTCCATCGTAGAATACTCATTCACGAATTACTGCCTTAAACCACTGACTTGTCGGGTGCAGATGGAAGCTAGTGCATCCACGGTTTACCACCGTATTAACAAGACTTACAAAATATTCTGTCCTTAGAGAGACGAGTGCGGCGTATGTCACGAAAGAGGCTGTCGAAAATGTAATATAGGTCTGTTTTAGTCCATGGCGGAGGCAGACTAGAAAGCTGTTTTTATGGTTTTCAGGGATACTATGTAAGGTTGTGTGCGACTTTCCACTAGTGGATGCTCATACTCAAATGTATTGATGTTAACTGATGGATTCAGTGGGTTTACTTTGGAATACACACTGTAAACATGCAATATTCTCAGGTAGTCCAACCTACCGAGTAACCAAGACGCTCGTTTTGAATTGAAAGTTATAGCAACTCGGTATAAACTCATTATATAATACTGAGTGGATTGCTCAGAACGTTCCTAAATGGTTCCGCATTCTCTTGCAATTTTTCATAACTAGATACACTTACGTTGGGTAGAGGCTGAAACGATCCATTCTCTCTGTGGCCTCTTTCCATGCGGATTGTTTATTCAACCGTCTTTCCTATTCTCTTGTAACCAGGGTTCGTTATCCTACCGATGGGTTATACACGGGAAAAGTGGACGCGATCGACTCTCTGAGGCATTGCTATCGTGTCACTTTTGACAAACCCACTCTGGGAACCCGGTCCATTCCTGATTATGAAGTTTTGAGTTTGTTTCCACAGGAGACAATTCCTCTGTCTGCTTACAAAACGCAGCATAAGGCTAGTCGTAATCTTTTCATGAGTCCTGCACGGTTACTTGCCCAATCTGCCCTTCAGGTTAGTTGGTCGTCTTACCATTTTATTTCATTTGCTTTTCGGGTTTTCGGCGTTCCGCCTACTCCACTTAAGAGCCAGACTTCCCGGAACTCAATTTTCCAATCACACTAGGAGAGTAGCAAACAGTTTACATCAAAACTGAACAATTTTTGTACCCCGATTCGGTCCTAGTGACTAGTTTATATTGTTTCTCAGTTAAAACTGAGTACCGACGATATGGACAATCGAGAATTGGGAGATCGATGCAACAAATATGTGGATCATGTGACGGATATCTCGGTTTGTTTAGTGTACTGTGTGCCACCAGTCGTAAGTGTTCACTAGAGGACTTGAGTAATGCTGACCAGTACGGCCGTTAAGTCGTAGTTGTTAAGTTGCAGGGAATCCAGGCTCACGCGTTTAAAATTAGGACAGTCGCGTTTTTAACCCATTTCTCACATGTTTTTGGTACATAACTGAGTGGGTGACTTACCGGGTTGCCAGTAGGCTGAAAGTCCGATGGAAATTCGTGCATTTCAAAGATTTCATGTTATCTGTTTCCCTGATTACGATGTAATTCTTTTGATACATTTGATGGTTCACGGTTGTACAGTGTACGGTGTCCTGTACCCTCACCGCAACAACTATTGACTGATTCCAAACAAACATGGTCTGCTCTTGTTCCAATGTTTTTTTGTCAAATTCTCACATTGTTTCACTAGAGTACCGTAAATCAGCCGACTTTAATGGGTTCTCGGTTTAAGTAGATCGCTAGAACACTTGATCACATTTGATTCACTAGCAGGGTTTTTCTGCTCTTGCTTTCTTCGTTCTTCTCCCAAAAGAGTAACGAAGATAAGGGTTTTTCTGCTCTTGCTTTCTTCGTTCTCTCAAAAGAGTAACGAAGATTAAAAAGAGAATGGTTCACTAATGCACAGATATGGGAACTGAAATCTATCATAGGATTATCCTAAGTTGCCTTTTATGCGGATGGTGGTCAAGCTATCGTCTGTTGAACTATTTTTTACCTGAGGGTCATTGCGGGGAAGCATTGGAAGACAAATCAAAAGCAGGTCGCAGCAACTTGCAGTTGTGGAAATCTATCGGAACTCAGAGGAATCATCACAGAGTGATACCGTTAAAACTACTAAGGCGAACTTTCCGGTACAATGGAATGATCTCTTGTTCTCTTGATTATTGTCCAAATTGTATGGAATGTGATTATAGCTACAAAGAGCTTTTCGCGGTAGATTTCCGTTATAATAAACAAAGATGATAACCGTTTACACGGAAAATGCTTGCTACGGAGTAATCGAATGTTACTGTTCTCATAACTGGATACGTAGTTTTCCAGGAGAATAGGTGGGCTATGGGAACACAATGTGTGGTATATGTGGAGTAGACAATGAACCGGGTTATTAGGTGGTTGAAGATAATACAGCTGCTCGTAACAACAATAATGATCGTTCAGCAGCAACACCCTTCTGGTGCCTAGCTGCCATGTCACTCGAAGAAAACACGAGGGCTGAGATACTGTGAGGCTGCCCAAATTTAGACAGGAGCAGTCGAGATGCAGATGCTGGGCTCGAACCAAGGATCCTCTAGTCAGTATATACTGCCGATGTATTGCTGTCAATGGTGATAATTATCCATTACGGCAGCAAAGAAACGACGGTTAACAGTCAAACATTTTTCCTTGCGGGTTTTGTTAAACAACAATCTGACGCCAAGTAGAACGTAAGGTTGGTGGAAATCCAGAGAATGCACTGACCAGATAAGCTCCAAGGGGGGCGAAATCGGTAATGAGCCTTCCAAGAGTTTTCACTGAATTTATGAGCAGTTTGTTTCGTCAAGAATCTGAATTCTGTTTCGTCGGTGGTTCAGATGGATCCTTGAGTAAAGCATTTGAAGAATTTTGCCTCCATGAGCTCGAGGTAACTCTGCTTAGCCATCAGTAGCAACCGAATTTGAACCATTGACGTTGTAGTGACAGTCTGAATTTCAGTCTCATTCACGGAGAATTGCATTCATTGGGGTCACGATGTAATTCACAGTATTTGATACAGTCCTTTATTCGGGATAATGTTTCAAAATTCCATTTCCAACGTATTCAATAATTTCCCGATTTTTGGATTCCTGTGATATGGGAAGATTTTACAGAATCCGTAGCTGGCCTGGTACTTGTTTCACCCTGTTTGGGGCTCTTCAATAAAACATACGTAGTATCCGAACGCTGTGACAGTTACTTCCCAACTTGGGCAGAAGCTGGGGAGTGAGCAAATTTCTAGCTCATATGCATGTAAAAGATATCTTCGTAATGGACACTTGAGATAGTCTTTGCACTGCAAATTATGCTGAGGAATATCAATCTTGTATCGAATACGAGGACACCGTCGTGTCTCCAGTTGCAGGGCACAATCCCACACGACTTGTATCTAAACACTATAAAAAAAGCGTTCAGCTGTAGCACCCTTCCGGTGCCTAGCTGCCATGCCACTCGAAGGAAGCACGAGGGCTGGGATACTGCCAGGTTGCCCAAGCCTAGACAGGGGAAGTCGAGTGGCGGAGGTCGGATTCGAACCGCGGACCTTCAGGTTAGTAATCCGCGCTCTAACCACTTCGTGCACAATCTTCCCACACTACTTGTATCTAAACACTATGAACATAGTTGAGTTTGCTAGTGCGTCAAAAATGCTGACAACACACATGTTCATCAGTTGTTACTCAAGTAGTTTTGTATCTCTTCGTCATACTTGCTGACAACACACGCACATGTTCAAGTAGTTTTGTATCTCTTCGTCATACTTCGCCTTCGATTCGCGTGGCTTTCGTCGCTAATCGAGTGGACACGTCGCTGCGCGGTTGATCGCGTACTACTACGTAACATTCCGCTTGCTTGCCGAAATTCGGTCCTTTTTGGGGAGTGGATACGTTTTACAAGTACTTATTCCTCTTTGAACCTTTTCTGGACTTTGTCCTGGCCTTCCTAGCTCGAGAAATCGTGAAGCTATTGGTCGAAGAGCCAGCAGTTTGACCCTGTCTTAGCTTCTCGATTACTCTTGTTTAAGTTCGGGCAACCTTATGCTTACTTCGGGTTACATGACAGCTATGCACCATCACTGAAATACTGTCACTTTTCACTCGTCTTCTAGGGCAAACGTCATCATATGCACCACCACAAGTTGTTGCAAGGCTATGGCGGATCTGCGGGACCTGGAGCTGCTGGAGATGTAGCCGTGCATGACTGCCCCTTGTGTCAGGCCGAGGCTTCTGGTACGGGGGGTGCGACCGTGAGGACCACAATATCATCTGGTTTCGGATCCAATTCCAACCTTCTATCGGCACCTCTAAAACTGCCTGCCATCAGCAGTGGAGATGTCGCCGCTTCGATGGGAAGTGCTGCATTGTCCCTCAACGAGCCGTCCTCTGGTGGACGCCTGTTGTTGAACGAAGCTGATATATATGGTGGATATCCAATGAAGTTCCTGGTCATGGTGGTAAGTAGCAAGTACTAGAAGTGTTTACTGTTAATGCTTGATTATGGCCTTATTCAACATCGCTTGCTACATACATATCACCTCTTTGTGAGTAGTAGTAGTTATAACAACTGGCGACAACCCGAACCCACGATGTCAATTTCGGCAGAGCAACTCCAATTAATTTTACAGCAACAACAGAAGCAGTTCGAAGAAGCACAACTGAGGCTTGTTGAATCTCTGATGTCGGTGAATGTGACAAAAACGGGTGAGCCTCCGTCTTCTTCAGAAGCACAACTGAGGTTGAATCTCTGATGCGCAGTATGTCGGTGAATGCGATAAAAAAGGGTGAGCCTCCGTCTTCTTCCGCAGATGCTGCTGCCTGCCAGATTACCGAATTCAATTTTGATGCTGAGTTTGGACGAACTTTCGAAAGTTGGTTCAGGAAATGTGAATACGGGTTTCAAACCAACTTTGCTCAGTTTGATGATGCATGGAAAGTTCGAATGTTGCTGCGGAAACTGGGGACAGCTGAACACGATCGGTTCACAAATTTCATACTCCCCAAACACCCTCGTGACCTTGGTTTCGCAGATGCTGTCAAAATTCTGGCCCAAATATTCGGTGAGCAAAGTTCCTTGTTCAATATTCGTTATCAGTGTCTCAAGATTACCAAAAGGGATACTGAGGATTTCATCACATATGCCGGTGTGGTCAACAGAGAATGCGAGCGCTTTCAGCTCAGCTCCATGACCGAGGATCAATTCAAGTGTCTCATCTTTGTGGCTGGTCTTCAATCACCACACGATGCAGATATTCGGACCCGGCTACTGAATCGAATTGAACAGGATCCAGAGTTGACGCTTCAGAAACTTACCACCGAATGCCAGCATCTTATCAATCTCAAGGCTGATGCTGCCATGATTGGACATTCCAAATTATCTCAGCCGGATATGGTATGCAAAGTAACTTCCAAAAGGAAGTCAAGTTCAAAACGAACTCCAAGAAAACCGCCCACACCCTGTTGGTTTTGTGAAGAATGGCACTATTCACGCCACTGTCCCTACCGGAACCACAGGTGCAGTAAGTGCAGTCGAAAGGGTCACAAAGAAGAATGCTGCAGAGACAACTTCAGGAGCTCGCGCAAACACCGACCCGACAAAAGGACGCAGGCAGAGGCTGTGACCGCCACATTCAGGATGAAATCACCTGGTCGACGTAAATTTGTCACATTATGTATCAATGGCACACCAGTTACTCTCCAACTGGATACAGGTTCTGACCTCACTCTGATTTCAAAACGAACCTGGAACGAAATTGGAAGGCCACCAGTGGAACCCACAAAGTGCATCGTTCGTAATGCATCTGGTGGAAGCCTCAAACTGACCGGGAAGCTGAACTGTTCCGTAACGTTCAAGGGAATTCATCTCAGTGGCACTTGTTACCTCACGAACTACACAGGCCTTGATCTCTTGGGCCTGGATTGGATTAATGAGCTTCAACTGTTGGATGAACCCCTCAATGCCGTTTGTGACGAAACAACTGCAAATGGCCCCGATACGTTCACGAGAACATCACGTCCTGACGATTTTGTGGTCGCTACAGTTACAGCCAAACCGGAGACCAGATGGAGCATACGCGACACAGCGACTATTCAGCTTCTGGCGTCCGGCAGCGGTAGCCCTCTCACCTCAGTGCAATTTGGTGAACCCTCCCAGCAGCCCGCAACGTTTCACCCGCGGTCTGAACCGTTCAGTTTACAGTCGCAGGTTCAGGCGGATCGTTCTACTGCTATCCGGAAAGTCAAGGAAGTGGGGCCGGCAGAAGGGACGCCACAACAGTCACACAGAGACCAGCCACCGATTCAAATATATGAGGAATGCTCTCCACGGTGGACGCAGGGTCGACGATGTCAAACACGAGGCACACGTAAGAACATCAGCACATCCGCGTCAAGTGAACCAACTTCAGGCAACAGACTGCGGTCTGGTGAGGGGACCACGTCGCATTGGAAACCGGACAGCCGTGACATACCTCCCAAGTGGAGGGTACCGGATTCCAGATCAGCATGCTGGCAGCCCCAGGGACGGACCGACGTGCGACAGAACCTCCATGAGTCATCACAGTGGAGTCCAAAGCAGCAGTCGGTTGGACAGCCCTCTCAAGGGGGAGGTGTTCGGGGGCCAGCCGTCCCTAATAACCGAACATCACATCAGTTGGATGCATGTGTCACGTGCAGGACACGGGCCAGACGTAGGCTTGCCCTGATTGGTCAGAATGCCAGCCAATCCGAGTCAAGCACCTTGACTCGACGGTTCTCGCCCCCTCACGGACATTCTGGCACGACCTTGTGGAACACTCTGTGACTACCCTATATATACACAGTTGTAGTGATTTTCCTTTGTCTCCATAAAGGGCTGTGTAGAGCTACCGTGCCTTTTGCTATACCATAGTGGGCGGAGCAGGAAGCCAAGGGACCGACACAGAGCTGCACGACCGTACAGCAAGATACAACAGTAGTTCAGCTCGTATCCCCGTGAAACAGCTTCCGTTGACCGATCTGTGTTTGTAGTGACTGAGTTATCATTCAGCTTCGGTGTGGTGTCTTTGATTTCCCTGCCCCGTGTTAAGATCGTTTTCTGATATCAGTGCACTTCACAGCTCCTTTACTCCTCTGTAACAAAACGGATCCCAGTTGTCCATATGGCATCTTTGGGAATGAAAGTCGGTCTAATTTGGTTGCTTTAACCTCATACTCGCTTCTCATCATCTGACAGTTATTTTTGATAAACTGCAGTATACGTTTAGTTCATCCCCCCCCCCACTTGACAGCCCACTGACAGTGCTGGATTTATGCACCAATTTACCAGCTCCCACCTGCAATGCACAGTTACCTACCCCTCCCCCCAAACCATCGGTGAACGAAACTGCGGCAGCTACAACCACTGTACGACGAGTACGCGGTTATTACAGCTGATGGTGATGAATTCATCGGTGTTTTTGTCAACCCAACTGCCGTTAGCAGACTTGCTGCGCTACATTTCACTCTCTTTTAATGATCCACAGACGAAACTCTCCAAAATTTTGGAAGTAAAGAAACGTTGTGTTGACGAGCTACAAGATCTGAATGATGAAGCGGAGCGCAAAGTGGGTATTTCGTTCATGTTCTCAGATTCATTTTACAGATCTCAAACAAAACTGATTTGTCGCTGGAGTTCCAGCACACCTATCTCACACTTGTCGTTCACTTGGAAAGATTGAACAAAGAACTGAACCAGTACTTGGCCCACGTCCTTCAGTATGCGAATGAGGTTTGTTTTTGAATTTGTCTTGAATTTGTCTTACGTGAGGCGGTTTGACATTATTAGTCAGGAGGTATTTCCATAGCGGTGAACAGTAACTAGTTAGTTTCTGAAGCGAGGTGACTCACTGGTTAGAGCGTGAAATCACTGACCGGAGAGTCCGTGGTCTGAATCCGACCTCCGCATCTCGACTTCTTCTAAACTTGGACAACCCGGCAGCATCCCAACCCGCGTGCTTACTTCGGGTGGCCCCTGGCAGCTAGGCACTGAAAGAGTCTGAAGAAATATTATTATTATTCTAGTGAGCTCAGTGGTTAAGGTGCTAGTCTATGAACCGGAAGGTTCGAACCCAATCTCTTTATCTCGACTGCTCCAGTCTACACTTGGACAACCTGGCGGCATCCCAGTCCTCGTGCCTCCTTCCGCTTGCAGTGCCAAAGGGCTGCTACACCTGAACGACTAGTTTCTGGTTACAGACTGTCCCAGTCGTTACAACTGACCGTACGTGAATGCATAGACTTGTCTTCCCTGGCGTCTTCCCGTGACACGTCCACACATTATCGTTCTGTCTTTCTAATAATTTCGTCAATACGTTGGTGGAATTTTTGTAGTTTCTGTCATTGTGTTCAGATTTCCAAGGGTCTATTGCGTGAGACCATTAGAACTTTCTCTTCTTTGAATGCAATCAAAATTGCTGTTATAGCGAGTGCTCATTTCCAGTTCTAATTCTTAGCAATTCTGAAGTACGACGAATGGTATTCGGGAGAAATAACTCACCCTCGATAGATGAACTGATCACACTGCACAGGTTGCGCTGGCTTGGCCACGTGCTGCGTATGCCAGTCGACCGACTTCCTCGAAGGGCTCTTTTCGCCCAACCAT